CGGACTGCCTCTACGACTTCCAACAGATCGTTGATGAACACCTGGAACAATGTTGGGGACAGCGTGCAACCTTGTGGGACCCCCTGCTCAATGTCGAAGAATTTTGACAGTTCTCCGTCTAGCATGACCGCGCTTTTCATACACTCTGTCATCTTCTTCAGCACTCTCCACATTTTCCCCTTGATCCCGTATTTGGACACACCGGGGGGGGCGGCTTGTTTTACAACGTCGTTGCCAAGCGACGAAAACCCAACCCCGATGGCAAACAGCAGGGGGGGGCCCTGATAATGTCAAAAAATTTAAAGAAGGTAATCTTCTTAGCGCTCGTGACCAGACGATTTAGACTAGACACGCGAGGAAAAAAAAAATACGACCCACGTCCAGCGTCGATCTCCGTACTGCAACAGGCAACGACTCGGTCACAGTTTAGCGCAGCCTATGTGGGTTTGGTAATTGCCTTTTGCCTACAGCATAAATGCAGCCACGCCGTAGCGGGAGTGGACGCAGCAGAGGTGGGCCAAGCCGAACCCGGAGTCGGTCGTTGCGAGCGATCGATTGTTGTGCGCTTCGGCGGTGCAGATCCTCGCGAATCAGAGCGTGCTTGCGAATGATTTCGAGGACAGGCGTCAAACGACCACCAAACGGTCTTCTTGTTCACGCTGTTCCCCGCACAAGAGCCCTTATCACCGTGTAGAACCAACCGCCGTTGTGTTACACAACCTACCTTCCTTCGTGGGGGAACCAACGTTCGTCTATCAACATGTAACTTTAATGTGAAGGGCCGTGCACCAGACTAGATACAGTGGGGGCCCCGGTTTAGCGACCCCTAGTGTCGCGACGAAAAATGGTCACTCTTCAGGGCATGCCGCGTAACCCAGTGGTTGCCAAACCGGGAGCCTCAATAGCGACTTGCGGTCGCTAAATCGGGACAAAGCGCCATTTCGTGGGACTGAAGGCCGTATTGCAGAAATCTTCTTGACCGGGTCATGTGTGCGTCGTATTGCAGCAGTTACATGAAGGTAGAGGAAAGAATAAGCACCTTTGGGTGGACAACCGGGGGTAGTACCTACGTGGGATGCATTCCAATCAACCAGCAAGCTTGTTGTACCCTCCGAAGGTTGTGGGAAATGTCTCAACAACAAATGTACAGAGGGTGCCTTGTGTCTGTCCCGCATTCTGAACAATCTGTCGAAAAATTTACATAGACCAACACAAAAGAAGCACGTATAAGAAAGTCCGATCTGCGAAAGACAAAAGAACAAAGGTGGGAACGGGGAAAAAATCATGGCAACGTCCTCCAAAAACAAGAATAAAGACGCCATGGCACGGAGAAAGTTCGTGCATGCCCAAGCGACAAAGAACCTCGCGCTGCTAGTGACTTCATTCTGCTACTGTCGCGTGTACCGATCATGTTAAACTAACATGTGTCATGTGTCCATCTGTCGCGCTGGTTTCGCGGAGTGTGCTTTGATGAACCACACCTTTGCCTTGCGAAGATTGTACGCTGCCTCGCTTAACCCACACGACTCCGCGCACTCTTCTGGCGATCCAAAATGCGACGAAAGCTCCGATTAGGGCGGCGGCAGTGCCATCACTTCCCCACCCCCGCACTGCCATCTCTCCATCTACCTCTATCTCTCTTTGCGTTTGGGTGGATTCGAGGCGGGTGGGGAAGCCTGCATGTTTTTGGATACACACGCGTGGCAGGTGCGGTGCATCAATCGATGCTCCAACTCCTCACACATTCGGTGCAGGCGTCAACCGCAGTCACCATGGCAAACATACCCCTGGGGTGCCTGCATTTCAACATCCGGCTGTTTCAACCACTCTCCAATCTGCGCACGGCATGTTGCGTGTGTGTACGTGTCCCGCGGTGTTGTGTCTGTGTGTGTGTGTTGTTGTTGTTGTTGTTGCTGTTGTCTTCACATTAAAAACCGTTCCGATCTCTCTCTACCCAGTACCTTCGTTTGTCCGTACTGATACAACACCCGACGCAATCGATTCCCGTGGTCGCAGGCTAACTTACCCTTAAAAGGTACACTCAAATAAAATGGCCCCGAGGGGTCCGCAAGTCAATAGAAATCAACGCCAGATATTCTGGAGTCCTCCACTCCCTCTGCGCTGTGTGTGTCTGCGCTGTGTGTGGAGGGATGCGGGATCTCTGCAAAAATATGAATCGATGGTCGCTACTGTCTGAGGAAAACGGCCCAATAAGTCGCTTTTGAGGGTTCGATCGGTTTCGCGACCACATGGTCGTTACACCGGGGTGCAGCGGTGTCACAAGATTTGGGGGTCGCTAAACAGTGTATGTCGCTGAACAGGGGGTCGCTAAACCGGGGCCACTACTTTTGTAGTATCTATTTTTTCGCTTTGATTCCATGGGGAAGGTGAACTGTAATTTATTGTTTTAGATTTGTGCAGGCGATAGGTGTTTATTTGGTTTCGGTTGTGGGATTGCGATTGAATATGCTCAGCTGCTGTTTGTTCTTTTGTGATTTTTTTTTGTTTTCGGCAAAGACTGCGTACAACGGACGAATGCCAGATAGTGGCAGTCCAACGCAATGAACACACCCCGGACCGGAACGTTGTGACACACAAAACCCCAGAAGATCATGCGAAAAATCGAAAATCTCACCGCGTTGCCAACCCTCCAACCGCGAAACCTCCAACCGCTTGCTTTTGTGCTTCTGCTGCTTCCCGGATAGGACACCGCCACCAACTTGGGGCTATCTGCTGGAGGCGTACAGGACCGAAAGAATTTCGCGCTCAAGATAGCCAAAGACCTGTTCCAAGTACGTGCTGTACTACGTGCGCAACGTATTATGGCGGGCACCACTTTTGTGCATGGCAAATCCAAGACTGACTGAGTTTCATACAGCTGCGTGTTTTTTATATATCCGTTACCTTTGATTGCTTGAGTTGTCGGACCGGGGGCGTTTTGCGGTGCGTTCCCGCCGGTGCGTTCGTTTCTGAGAGAAGGCACGGTGAGGGCTGATTGTGTTTGCAGCTCGCTCGGCGCGCGCATCGATTGCCCGAGGCCCCGTTCTTCATATTCTAGTTCTTACACGAATCAATCTCTATCCACAGATTTGTACGTAATGAAAGAGTCCAGGATCGTCGTACAGGGCTCCTCCGCGGTGTGTGGTGCCTGGACCGATGGATAAAATGAGCGATTTGCGTTTCTGTCTTTCGTGTGGCGCGGTTTTGTCCGTCCACGCTCGTCGTGCAGTTCATGTCATCGTTCAGCCAGAGCACCCAGGCCGGTCCAGAGCTGATGGTGGTCCCTACCAATGTCTTGGATAGGTGAGGAACTACTGCTGCTGTGCACTCAGAAGAGCAAGGAACCGTCTAGAGAAAACACAGCAAGTTGATTGCAACTCGAGCATGCTGCGGGTTCGTCGGAATGCAGTTTCTTGGGTGGACCCGTTCCTTCTCCGTGGACCGTAGATACCCATTGCAAATATTTTCACAAGCGAACACGTTGTTGTTGTGCTCGGTGTTGGAGATTTTTTCGATGCCGTTACTGCGGGTCGTTGTCTGCATGCATTGACTTGCTGGAAAGGGTGGTACTACGTTGAAGAAAGCCCCTTGCACGTCACCTATCATTATTGTCGAATTGATGAGCTTATCGTCCGGAGATGGGTTGCTTGGCCCAGCCCTACCTTTGTTTTCAAGGGCTTCCGCTGCCTCCGATTGAATCATCACTTGTCGCGCACAGCAGTACGTGGCTGTAGCGCCCGCGTTTGAGAAGCGTCAATTTGGGGTCAAGGCTCAATTTCATATTTCATCGCCACTCCCTGCTGTCGAGCAGAGCTTGATATAACAGAGTTTAGCCTTGGATCCACCGCTGAGCTGTATTTCTAAACCCATCCTTTCGTTTTTCGTGAAAATGTGAACCTCTGCTTCCTGCAAATGTAGCGAAATGCTTCTAACTGCGGGCCCGTTCTTTCTTGTTTGTGTTTACGCCCTCGTTCCCCTCGAAGGTGGATACTACGTTTCGAGAGCAAGTACAACCGAGACCCGAACTTCATGTTGAAAGACCAATAGCTAATCAATATAGTTAGTGCCCACCTTGAGACCTGCTAGTTTGGTCGAGGGTGGGGTTATCAGTTTGAGGGTTATGCTTCGCAGCCTGCTATAATAATACAAGTAGGTTTTAGTATGGTAGGGGTTCTTACCCGCCTCACAAATTTAAATCGTGCTCGTGTTCCGTTGTCTTTTGATGTTAGTCGAGCATGAAGGGCCAATACTCAAGTGCGGGCGCTAGCTGTAGATGGAGTAGGGAGGCGGAGGTGGTGTCTGAAAAGGTCCGAACGCCGTTGAGCTTTGCCTTGTCCATGTGGTGCGTTGTACCATGCATGGTATTCTTTTTGGCGCTTCTAAGCGCTGTGCGATGTTCGCGTCAGCCCTGCCGCGTACCCGGAGTATATATTTGGACTATATTATAGCCGCAGGCCGTGGCGCGTTGCGGGTATGTTGGTAGCAGTAGTCGTGGGGCTAGGGGGTTGTGTTGATGCGCAAGCAAGGGTGGAACTTGGATGTGTTTCATGACCTAGACTAGTAGTCTATGTATAGAGGTTGTGGGGATTCAGGGCGTTTGCCGCTTGCGTCGGTCGTGCATAATTTGGAGAATTTCGTGGGTGCGCGCTTGTTTTTTTTCTGTTTCTGGTCAACAAGGAAAGATCGAGTGAGAAAAATCGTGTTTTTGAATGTCCAGGTGTGTTACTTTGGCTATGATGGTGCATATTTTTCATGCCGAGCGGTGCATCGTGTTTCGGCTGCGTCAGATATGTTTGTGTGTTTTGGGGCACCATGTGGGAAGGAAACTTGATGTGAATGCGCTCGGTGGTCGTCGATATGCACATAGTTTATATCACCGTAATTGTTTTTTTGCCCCATCAAGCCAGATTACGGCAATGCTCGTCGTCATCTTGGATACTACAGAGCAGCCACCCACGTTTGCACTAGCACCGCGCCCAATATGTGTGTTTTGGGGCACATGTGGGAAGGAAACTTGTTGTGAATGCGCTCGGTGGTCGTCGATATGCACGTAGTTTATATCGCCGTAAGATTTTTTTGCTCCATCAAGCCAGATTCACGGCAATGCTCGTCGTCGTCTTGGATACTACAGAGCAGCCACCCACGTTTGCACTAGCACCGCGCCACGTGGGGCTGGTGTTTGACGAACGGTAGTAGTTCGTGCAATTTTTGTCTGCTGGTGGCCCTAAGCAACTCACCGAGAGACAAGAGTTGCTCGTTCGAAAGGGTGCACCTCAAGAGCAACATGGCCCAAGGCCCTTGCTGTGTGTTGCTCTTGAGGTTTTCTGTGTAAAAAACACGCCACCACATGAGATAAACTCCAATTTTGCGGCATTCTCCCTTGTTCTTGATCAGTGAGGAAATCAACAGGGAAAAACATGAACGTCACACAGGATTCAAATCAGGCCCTCCCACAGCAATGTCCTAAGTCGGCCGAAAATTGACGAGAGGGATTGCCATGTCTACATCGACACCTGGGCAAGACATTCGGAGACTCCCTATGCTCGATCCTGGTCCATCAGCCCTCCCCCATCTCACAAGTACCGGAGGCTCGGTTATCGTGAGAATCAATCACTCTGTCAGCCGTAGCATCACTTCACAACTTCTTGATTTAGCCTACGGCGGCCCGCGCGAGATGGGTGATCGTGGGGATGACCATCACCACAAGGTGATTGGAATATGGGTCAGGTTCCGTGGATTGGATGCGTGTGCTTGAGTGGGAGTCGCGGTATGTTTCGCGTGTGTTCTGAGAGCGCAGGTGGTGTACAGATATCTAGCCGTTCTGATCGGCAACACGTCTTGCGGTTTTTACGCTGCTAAGATTGGCCAACACGCCTGCCATCGCAGCGACTAAATCATATTCTTACGAAGTACTTCATTTATGAGTCCCGCTCCCCTCCTCCCCGCAGGAGCCCTCTTGAATTTGCCCCCATTGCAGCGTTTCCGCCTTGTGACACAACACAAAACGATCCCGCGATTTGCACGTTGTCGAGACGCAGAATAGCTCCTTATCGCCCGGCCTCGCGTTGTGTGGCACAGCACAAGCGAGACAGCATCCAAGATACATCGCACACATGTTTTCTGCAAGTCTTGTCGCTGTCGCCAGAATATAGAAACTGTACTGAATATTATAATACGTTCTCTATTGAGAAGCTCATCATCAGTCACTCAACCGCTTCGCTTAAGGTGTTTCGATTTTTTTTTCGTGTGCGACATGAAATGTCCAAGTCAGACGCAAGTTAAACACGCAAAAACGCGCGGCAAAAAGGATTCCAGCCCAAAACAGAGAAATGCGGCAAAAAACACCCTTTGCGCAACCGTAGGACAGGGACGTTTTACCTCGCTCATCAAACTTTTGGAAATTCTGCAGGCTACTAACCCCTGTGTAAACGAGCTTCTGGTGATTTCCGAACAAACCATAAACGGGGATGACGTAATGCCTCCCCCAAACCCTCCCCCCAAACAATTCTTGCCAAGTAGAACCACCCAACAAACAGAAACACGCAAACAAGGAGCTACATTAAACGGGCACAACATATCGCTCCACCGTAAGTTCATTTGAACTCCCCGCCCCAGCAACACACGACGAGAATATCTATCACATAGGTAGAATAGAAGTAGAAAACTTCCAACCAAACGACCAACAAAACTACCAGAGCACTATTACGCAACGAGGGCTACTAGAGCACCAAATACTAAGAATACCTGAATTACGTCATACATAACATACTGTTGCTTTTGCATGCATACTTGCGAGGTGTTAAAAGGTAAAACGAGGGAGAAAATCGAAGACACAACACACCATGCACACCTCCTTTTCGCCATGGCCTCGCGTGCATACCAAGGCTGCGATGGGCCTCGTGCGCGATGGTACCGCTTAGGCGCCCTAAGCCTACAGCTCAAAAGTATTAGTGAAGCTAACCGGCCATGGCACCATTCGGCTACGCGCTCTTGTATGACGCAGGCATTGAACAAGGCGTGCGTTGTGCCCCCTCAGGCGCGCAAGCTAGCTCCACATACAAATTACACCCGACACATGCACCATGAAAGGTATGCGACATGCCCCAGTAGGGTCACCCAAACCGAGTGTACGCACCTCCTAGAAAGCAAAATCATACAACGAAATGCTTCGCGGTTGTCATACGGTAAAACCAACCCAACACGATTTCGAGCAGTCCGCACGTGATCTTTGTGGAGTTGGTTGTTCCCCACCCGAAGCGTAAAAACCTGCTGCCAAGCTCGTCGTCGGAATGACCAACGCAATATGGTAGTTTTTTCGCGCACTCCAACCACAACAGGGTTCCGAAAAAAAAAAAACGAAGAACTATCGAAGCCCTGGGGGGAAGGGGGGAGAGGAAGGCATGCGGCATTCAAACATATTTTACCGAAAGTGTCGTAATACATTTTTTCCACACCGTTGCCGTGCCCCCGCTTGTCTAGACCACAGGCGTCTTACGGACGGGTGCGGAAGCCCCGTCTTGGACCGGTGCTTTAGGCGCGGACGAGCGACTAACGGCGTCTCCCGCAGGCATCTTGGGCCCGGCCTTATCCTTACCACCGCTCGCAGACATGAGGGGCAAGGGCAGAGGAGTGTCGTCACCCATTCCCAATGAAGAAGAAGAGTCGTCGGACGGCTCGCGCCCATGCCCCGCTCCTGCCGCGCCCACCTCCGGACGAGCACCTTCGGGGCGCAAGTCCCCGCTCTCGCTAGCCCGTCGTTTCTGCTTGTCGTAGGTGGAGCCGCGGGATCCCACCGACTCCGGGCTCAGTGCTGAGGTCGATGCCCTCGACGAGGTGTCTTCCGCCGAGCGCGTCTGTCGGGGAAACACGAAACAACAATCGCGGTCAGCTAATTGACCATATAAGCATTAACAGAGACCCAAAATAAGCCGAGTTTCCAGCCGGTTTCCCTCCACTGACTGACGAGACTTCAGCACATCCCTTACGACTGTCGTTACGTCTAAATCAGGTAGTCTTTCTATGTTTCCCATGTATGTTTTCCAGAAAAGCTGTTGCGAATTGATGTGCCAGGCACCCAACCGTCGCTTGATACCTGACACGGCGGTTCGAGGTGTGCACAGGAACCTAAACCATTGACGCGTATCCAATTCAGTGTTCCACGTGATCAACGCTGCGAATCCCAACAACAACGAGTACATGCCCTCGTCTACCGAAAATCTACGCCGATACTCAAGAAATGCTCCTGCCCCCATGCATTTCACCCCCTCTGGCCTGCCGGCGTGCAACAAGCGCGCGCGCTGGCGTTTGTCGTGCCGCGACTCTACGCCATGGCTCGTGAAAATGTCTCCGCCCCCATACGCTCCTCCCATTGGCTACCGGCGTGCTTGCTTCGAGTCTCAAACGTGCTCGGGACTATATGGTCATCACCTGCGACCGAGAGCCCTGCTTGTGGCGAGGAGCGGCGCTTTTGGGCTTGGTCTTTTCCAGCTTCTCTCTGGGGTTGATGTTGGCGCTTCCCTGTTTATTATGGCAAGGGAATGATCACGAACGAGTTGGTGACATGTGTTCAGAATCTCGCTCGAACAGCTATTTACGAGCCTGGTCGATGGCTACGGCAAGAATATAGTCACGAAATGAAGGTGACTTGTTTCGGACTCGTTCCAACACCTATGGTCGGTGGCTACGCCTTAGAGAAACGACTCGGCTGCTACCAAGAACCCAACATGCGTTGCCTGAGGCGCCCAACGGATTCTTGTTACACAACCAACTGTGCACCGCGTCACGTGCATCGCAAGGCAGAAAGCAGTATTTGCGGTCCCCGCGTAGACGCAAATGTCTACCTTGAGCACCACGGAGGGGTCCATGCCGAGCGAAGCGCAGATGAGGTTCCCCGTCACGCAACCGGCGAAACGAATCTGCATCTTGTTGCAGGAGCAGTCGCCGATCAAGATACCTTCCACGTAGACCTGTGGGTCACCAAGCCCCCGCGTGCGAGACAAGGTTTCGGGGAAACACCTCAGACTAATCCGTCCACTGCGCGAAAAGAACAGCCTGCGGACCAACAAAGCAACCTCAAATTGTGCGCGGTTGACAACGTTATCGCCCACATCCAAAACCAAAGGCGACTGCCACCAATAGGTGACTGATGTCCCATATCTGATCGCGCGGTACATCCGGCACCCACACATTCACAGCAGCCAGTGCACGCAACAGAGCCCTCAAGAGCGTGCGGCCACAAACATCCGGCTGACCCAAAAGCTACACTTGTGCACAGAAGGTCTTGTATCTCTCGTTCATCCAAACACAACATCTGGCTGGGTAAAGAACACCGCAAAGCGCACCTCGTTGAGCCCACGCAGGTTGGAAATCACTTCAGCCGTGGGGCCGATGATGAGACTTCCATTGCCGATCAGTTCCCCTGTGTCGTTAATTAGTTCAAGTGCGAAAAAACAGGTGGCAGTAAATTTAGACCGCAAGAACAATGGACAACCGACAAAAGGTTAGGAAAAGCGACAATCAACGGTTAGGCGGAACACCACCAAGCTGCGTAGTATATGGCCATATCTTAGAAGAAGCCGACAAGCGGTGTCGCTTTCATCAGGGTTTTTTACTGGAACAGTAGGAGCATTAGACAAGCACATGCCATGGTCGTCTACTCAAAGGGAACTATAATAGCATGAGGACCAGTCGCCGCTGGGGGGGATGGAGCGTGAAAGTAAAGCTACTCGATGCTGTCGAATGGCGTCTTAATTCTTGTCGGCATACATAACACGCAGCATGAGCATGTTAGGGGAGGAATGACCCCCCCAAACGCGGAAAAACACACGGCAAACGGCAGTCCTGAGGATTCGCGCCAGATTTTTGGCGCGCTCGAACAAACAAGTACCTGAGGTAACTGTTCTCCACGGCGAAAGT